AGCGAGCTTTTCAGTTTGCGGATAGCGTGTTTCTGCGTCGGTGAAGGTTTGCGAAACATAGAATATTGGCTTATGTTCCCCTCTGTCTTCTCCGACTATGACCCCACTTACTGCTATGTCCGAGACGGCGATGTACAGGAACAATGGTTCGCTGGGACTGGTTTTGCTAACACCGGTGGATTAGCCAGATACTTCTTTAGTTCCTGGAAAGCTTCTTCGCAGCGATCGGTCCATTCGAACTTCTTGTTTCCACGCAGAGTATCGTAGAAAAGCAAGCATTTATCGGTCGAACGGGAGATGAATCGGTTCAGGGCTGCTACTCTTCCGGTGAGGCGCTGAACTTCTCGCTTATTCTGCGGCGAGGGCATGTTTAGTAAAGCATCGATTTGCTTTGGATTCGCCTCGATGCCTCGGTGAGTTACTAGATATCCTAGGAATTCGCCCGATTTTACTGCGAAACGACATTTCGCCGGGTTGAGCTTCATGTTGTGTTGATTAAGCTGGTAAAAACAGTCGCGTAGATGGGCTATGTGATCGTTTTCTTCGAGGGATTTGACTAGCATGTCATCGATGTAAACTTCCATCGTTTTCCCGAGCTGCTCGGAGAACATCCTATTAACGAGCCGTTGGTATGTCGCGCCGGCGTTCTTGAGTCCGAAGGGCATGACTTTGTAGCAGTAGATGCCTCGGTCTGTGATGAATGCTGTCTTCTCGCGATCGTCGGGGTGCATGAGAATCTGATTGTATCCTGCGAAAGCATCCATGAACGATAGCAACTTATTTCCCGCAGTTGCTTCCACTAAGCGATCGATATGTGGGAGCGGAAAACTGTCTTTAGGGCAAGCTTTGTTCAGGTCGGTGAAGTCGACGCAGACTCTCCAATTGTCGTTCTTCTTTTTTACTACGACAGGATTCGCTAACCAGTCTGGATATCTTGCTTCGGAGATCGAGCAGATCTTCAGGAGCTTTTCTACTTCGGCATTCACGGCATCTGCGCGATCCTGGCCCAACTTCCTTCGCTTCTGCTTGATGGGCTTGAAAGATGGGTCCACATTCAGTTCGTGGCAGATTATGTCGATGCTTACTCCAGGTAGATCTTCAGCCAACCAGGCGAACGTATTGATGTTCTCCTTGAGAAATGAGATGAGCTCGGTCTTAATTTCCTCGGTTATGTCGCTGCCGATTTCCACGCATCGCTCAGGTCGTTCATTGTCAAGACTGATGGAGATTACTGGATCCGAGGTAGGCTTCTTCTCCTCGATCTGTAATTGCTATAACTGTTTAGATATAACCTTCTCTTCGTTCCGGCCAAGTTTCGACTTCTTGTGGTCAGTTTCGGCCTTCGCTTCGGTGACGGGGTTTCGGAGTTTGTGCGCTGCCATAAAACACATCCGTGAATTTTTTTGACTGCCCAGATCGTTTTTACGCCACTAGGAGTCGGAAATTTGACACACAGATGATATGTTGAAGCGATGGCTCGCATTAGATTTACCCACGGCGTCCCCATTATGACGTTGTAGATGGTAGGTTGATCGGTGACAGAGAAGTTGACTATCTTTGTCACCCCGCCGGCTCGGACCGGTAATTGGATAGTTCCAAGCGTCATCAAAGTTTCTCCTGAAAATCCGAGGACTGGCCTCGGGGTCGGAGTTACCTATGACATGTCGATGTTCATTTGTTGGAGCGTTTCGTGAAAGATCACGTCTATCGTGCTGCCGGTGTCGACTAATACTCTGTAAATGTCATGGTCTCCTATCACTAATGTGATGACGAGTGGATCGTTATGAGGCATGTCGAGCCCGTTCATCTCGCTTTCCTCGAATGTGATCAAGTCATTAGGTCGATCGAAGGGTCTTGTCCAGTTGCTAGGCGCCTCGGCTCGGCGTTGATAAGCTTTGATTGCCGCTACGGTGTCAGGACAGTACGGCGATCCACCCATTATGGTGAGGACTTTTTGCCTTGTATTATCTCGGTCTTCGTCTTGCGTCCCCCGGGTTCTTTTTTGAGACTCCTGATTCCTTGGCTCGGGGTCTCTTCCCGGGCTTGAACCTGGCTCGGGCCACGGATATCACGAATGATTTAATGTGACCCTTCGAGTCGGTTGATCCGTTGTAAGAGTCGATTTTGAACTTCCCCAGATTGGACATCGTTGTTTCGGAAATTCTTTTGGTGAAAGGCGTATTCCGAGATTCTTCCAAAATTTGGTCGATGTTAGGTGCAGAGGATGAAACGCTATGTATCTGGGTTTTGACGAGCTTCATATCAGCTTCCGCCTTGGCTAGGGAGGCTCGGATCTTGCTGAGCTCGTCTTCTCTTTCGGATTCTTCGGCCCATCTTATGTTTTCCTCAGTTTCTTCGTCATCTGTGAGATCAGTCCGCTCGGCAGAGTTAGCTCCGACTCGGGTAAGCTCGTCTCGCAAACCATCCGGCTCGTTCGTCAGGTCCGCTGCGTCTGGCTCGGTGGGATCATTCTGATGCTCGCGTTTGGCAGGGTCGGCGCGGGTTGCGACTCTGGTGTTGTCGGTTGGTGTCGCGAACGTGAGTCTTGTTGGGTTGAGACCAGGCATGTCCCTCCGGGCTCGTGGCGGCCGAGTCTGGAAACGCGTGGTTTTTTGTTGCCCTCGAGTTGCGATTTCATCGATTTGCTGCGCCAAGGTTTTACTAACTTTCTCTAGTTCCTCAACCTTTTTCTGGAATTGAACCATCATATTCTTTAGTTCAGTTAGGGCCGTTGTAATCGTCGGATCGGCTTGAGGATTTTGAGGGTTCGGAGCATTGGGTTCCCTCCTCTGGCTGGCGGTATCTGATGATCGTCTTCGTTCACCATCCTCTCTGGTATTCGAGTCTTGCGTTCTTAGGGTAAGAGAATTCTAAAGTAGTCCCCACAGACGGTGCCAAACTGTGGAAGTCGAAACTAACACAATCGAGATTTGTCTAGGGTTTTAATTTAGGGATACGATAAACGTGAATTCTCAAAGAACAACAGAAACAATTGTAACCAATGATGGTGTTCTTGATCTTATTTATGAAAAGAGTAGATTTGATCGTACAAGAGTTTGATCGTAAAAGGAAAAAGGTGTTGGTGTTGTAAGAGCTTTGTGTAGTGTAAATTCTAGAGCGATATCCCCCCCTCTACGAGAGCCTTGAGTCTCTTTATATAGCGATGATAAACCGCCTCTCCAGCGATATTCTCGGAAGATTTCCATTTATCTCGAAGGCGGCTAGAATATCACGGATTAGGATAATTTCCTTATTCTTCGGAGTCTTTGGAAGATTTCCTGATATGAGTTGATCCTTCTAGATTCTCTCTTATCATTTCCGGGTATATCGGAAATGATGTCCTGCTTAGAAATGATACTTCTGTGCAAATATTTACTAAGTACTTGCCTCGGGTGATGATGAAGACTTCGCCTCGGAGAACTTGTGCAATCGGCTCGGGTACCCAGGAAGGGCTAGTTCGGATACCCCGAGGTGATGGGCTCGGGTACCTCGAGACGACTGGGCTCGGGTACCCGAGCTGGCAGGACACCTTAAACTGTTTAGATGGATAACCCGAACTGATTAGATGGATAACCCGAACTGATTAGATGGATAACCCGAGGTGGATGATGCGACGCCCCGAGGTGATCTCTGAAGAGTTTCCCGAGGCGCTCTAAGTCTGGCTCGGCGCCAAAGGATGGAATCCGACCCCAACACTCATGAATGAGATTTAGGCTTTTGTGAATCTTAGTTTGCATCAGATTAGTTTATCACTTTAGATGAGTTTAGTTTTTGTCACAATTTGAGAGATATATCGTCACATAGTTATAGATTCAAGTTTGTGATATGAAGATATGAATAAACATTCTTTACTTGTTTCTGTAGTGTTATTGTATGTTCTCTTTGCTTGATAGAGTTGTTTTAGTTTGCATTCTAGAATAGTCTCCCTGATTCGGGAAGGTCTTCTTGATTCGGGAAGGACTTATAGTAATTCCGGAAGGTCTTCCTGAATATATCTGTTTACTGATTTCCTTTAATTTTAATTGCAGGAAAATGGGAGATTCGTTTCCAACAAATGTCACACTACCAAAGCTTTTGTACAATATAGGACAGGAGCCAAATTCAAATGTTGGGATAAATCAATGTGCAAGATATTAGTATATCGAGAAAGTACAACAAATCATCTCTCCTATAGAGTTTCAGAGAATCGGAGAATTGAAGATTTCTCCAAGTTGCGTGATATAGATTCAGAAGACATCAGAACAAGTTAGCTGTGGAAATCTTCAATGAGTGCGTTAAGATTTCTTAGGATTATGTTTCTTTATTGGATGTATGATGCTTGTGAAACCGTTTTAAATTGTTTTGGTACTTCTATGATGGTTCTGAACTAGAAAAGTATCATCTGTTTCTTTTTTTTTTTTTTGAGATATTCAATGTATGGTATTTTGTCAGATATCATATGTTTCCTACAGATTATCCACTCAGTTGTATGCTCTCAGCATATCCTCTGCATCTGAACTGTGCAATTTGTGAAAGATTTGAGGCAAATTATGCAAAAGTAAAAAAAAATTTGAAATTCAGGAAGGGTTTCCAAATATTCAAGAAGGATATATACGAATTCAGGAAGGCCTTCCCTAAAAAAAAAAAAAATTGTAATAGTTACTTCCACCAGGATTCGAAACCGGGACCTATTGTTTTTGTAATAGAACATGTAACCAACGAGCCAAGCGTCTAATTGTAAGATCTTGTACAAACGAACGTATATATTTCTATGAAACACGAAACACATCATGACATAAAAAGAGATTTTATAGATCCCTCAAAAAATGTGTAATTTGTGATTAATATGAGGCAAACTATGCAAAAGTAAACAATTTTTGAAATTCAAGAAGGGTTTCCCAAAATTCAGGAAGGATATATACATATTCAGGTAGACCTTCCCTAAGAAAAAGCTGTAATAGTTACTTCCAACAAGATTCGAAACTGGGACCTATTGTTTTTGTAATAGAACACGTAACCAATGAGCCAAGCTTCTAATTATAAGATCTTATACAAACGAACGTATATATTTCTATGAAACACGAAACACATCATGACATAAAAAGAGATTTTATAACTTCGCAGTAGCTTGCCTATGATTTGCATTTCTGTGTGTACTGTCACATGTGTGCTCATGGCAATACTTCTTCACCACAAAGAAATCAGAAGAGTCTACCCTCATTGCACGCATCCTCCAAGTACATTTATCATCTATACAGATACCAAAACCACTCTCTCTTTGTTAGACCATCGAGACCTAAACTCAAACTTATACTCCAACTCCCATGTCCTCATCTTCTGCATTAACTCAGCCTTGTTCATGAAATATTTATTAACATATATATCATCAGCACCTTGTGTTGAATGTACACCGCCTATAGGAATCGGACGACGATCTAGAGCAGGAAGCAAATCCAATGACTTATTGCCTCTTCCCTTTTCAGCCGTTGAACATGTATCACTATATGGCACAGAGATGGAAGAAGTTCCGACTGATGGATGAGGTTCCTAAAAACACAAAAATAGATAGGCATATGAACAAAGAGTTAAAATTGAAAAAAAGACGACTAGAAACGGATCATATCTGTAAATTGCAGTATTTAGGAAGGTCATCCTAAAACTAAATGTATCCTTACTAAAACCTATGAAATTAAGTTTTTACCTTCTGGTTTTCATGTGCAGCAGAGATAAAAGAAGTTCCAACTGAAAGATGAGGTTCCTACAAACACAAAAAATGATAGGCATATGAAAAAGAGTTAAAATTTTAAAAAAGACGACTAGAAACTGATGATATATGTATATTGCAGTATTTAGGAATGTCATCCTAAACCCAAATGTATCCTTCCTAAAACCTATGAAATTGAGTTTTTTACCTTCTGATTTTCATGTGCAGTGAAAATCAGAATCTTGAGCAGGAGGCAGAAATAATGAATAATTGCCATGTCCTTATTCAGGCGTTGAACATGTATCACTTGGTGGCACAAAAACTGAGATTTCCATTCTAGTGCCTTCTTCAGCCTGCATAAACGTCACATAGATCCTAACTTATAAGATTAATGGTAATGCATGGAGATAAGAAGTTTTGGTTGCTTACATCAAGTTCTCCAAGTACCAAAATCGTCAAGTTGCTCGCAAATGCAAAGTTCGTCTTCATCATCCAAACTTCGTCTTCATCATCCAAACTTTAATTCACAAACAAGATTTAATCAACTCCAGAAACCATATAAACAAAAACAAGGACAGGACTAGAGATCACGAGATACAAATCCGTTACAATCTTAGATCGACATAGCTCCAAACACATGATCTTTCCTCAATAAACAAAGCTTGTGGATTCGTCGAAGATTTCGCCAATTTAGCACGAGCGTAAGCTTCTTTGACTGAATCTCCGACATACTCGTCATTAATCCCAAAAATTAACTGTCAAATTTTAATGTATTATGATCTAACATGATTGATGAAGAAGAAGAAGAAGAGGAATAAGAAGAAGAAATTGATGATAGAGATCAAGCACTTACCCGAAGATCTGAGATTGGAATTGAATATTTGAGATCGAAAGTTTCACCGGAATCAAAATCGTAAGCTTCTCGTGATGATGATGAAAATGACTTTTTTCATTTTAATTAATTAATTTAAGATTTAATTAAAGTTTAAAGGGCTATTTTTAGAAGTTTGAGGATTAGGTGCTAAATATGTCCACAAAACATATTTAAGTGCTATTAGAGACCATTTCTCTAAATGTTTTTCTTAATTGGTGTGAAACTCTATAAAATCAATATTTTTGATAAGGAGAGAGTATTTAATTTACTCTCATTTACATTTCCAATATTCCTCTGTTAGTCTCTTTTGCTTTTTTATATTAAACTTTCACACATGTCTAATCCTCAAATTCATGTTCACCTTGACGCAAGGAGATTCTCTGCATCACAAGGGTACACAAAATCAGTAGTCATCATCCTCAAAACCAAAATTCACGAGATCCCCGAAGATCCAACCACCGGTTCTCTAATCCTAACCGAATCAAACCGAATTTCTCCACCCCTTCGCATCGACTTAATTCTCAGTACTTCTAAACGTCGTCATATTCGACAGCTTCTCCATAACTCTCTTTGGTTTCAGTTGGTCATGCGGATACTTACTACTTAGCCTCACGGATGGCTGCCACAAACATAGGGTTTGGTCGTAATGGATTTGTCATTAACGTGTTCGTCAAGATAACTTACAAGATTTTGTGTTAATGAAGTTGGTCTTAGGAGGGAGAACTGATGGAGAGGATTTGAAGATGGAATCAGAGACCCTCTTGTCTCGAGAATCTCTCTGGCTCAGTCGTTCAGACCCTCTTGTCCTCCCCTCACACATGACTTGTTCACATGTATTTCATGATTGGTGTCTTTTGGATTGGCTCCAACGCGAAAATACTTGCCCATTGCGTAAAATTTTGTTCTATGATCGATGAATTAGGGTTTCAATTTCTGTTTGCACTAATGATGAATTGGGTCACACTTTGTAACTACTATGTTCCTTTCGAAAGAGATTTAGCATCTAGGATTTAAGTTTTCACAGGCCCAGAATCAAGGAGATGGAGACTAACACCAGAGTATGAGACTGAAAATGATGAGACTAACTACTCTGTTTTTGATAATTAAAATAATATCTTCTGTCCTTACAGAGGACAATGCAGAAGTTGAGAAGGAGAAGGCAACGGCATCAGCCACCAATATTCCTCTAATGACTAATGTTCTATGATGATCTCTCTAGGTTTCTATAAAGTACAGAGTTTCTTGATGATTAAGTAATCGATTTAGGTATGAATATTAATGAACAGAGAGTGGGAAATTGAAAAGTCGCTTCCAAGTGATTGGCTCTACTTAGACTTCTTTAATACAAATGATTTAATTCGTAATTATGACAAAGTATCAAATTACGAAGGACAAAATACTGTTTGCATGCGCGCACACTATTCGAGATTCATGCATTTTCTTTATTTATTTTCACGTTTGTAAGGAAAAAAAGATTTTCTCTCAGCCTTTGGCAAAGTGAGAATTGGTTATCATGTTTTGACAATTTAGCCAAATTCTGACTATTTTACCCCTGCCAGCGTAACGACGTACTGTTCCGTGTACGGTTCAATTATGCGGTTCAGTTAGGTACACTGTTCCGGTTAGGCTAAGATAATTTCGTTTTTTAAATGTTTTGTGCGGCTGTACAGTGAAAAGGAGGATTAATAACATTAAAAAACAAAGCGACATGAGTATTTAATGCCAAAAAAGTTTAGACATGACTCTTGTCACAATTAATGCAAAACTCATCATTACTTGTTGTAATATTAGTTTATACACTAGATTTTAACCCGCGGTACAGTTAGTATAAGAATATTTTGTAAATTGTATCTCTTTATAACATATTTATTTATATTATAGTTTACAATTGTTATTAAGTAACGGTATACCACGAGTCCACGAGACAATTATTAATAAACTGAGGATTTAAACCGTATTAAAGCGGTATATAAATATTGATTCAAATTTGTCCGCCATATAAATCCTTTCCGAAATATAATCCGTTTCATAATTTCTTAACTCGTCCCGTGATTTGTTTTTATTTTAAAATTTAATGAATATTTATTATATATAAAAGTTTACAAATCATATCAATCTCTAAGACATTTATATTTTAATAAACTGAAAATTTAATATGTATTAAAGCGGCATATTAATGATACCCATCGTCACCCTGATAATCATCATACCCATCACCATCTTCGGTGTCCTCCTCCTCTTCATCCTCATATGTTTTATCGTCTTGTACGTCGTCTTGTTCATCTACGGCCTCATTATTTGCATCCACATTTGAAGCCGCTACGACAGGATTTGGTTTCTTTGCACTCCCACACACACGGTCACTTTCAGCATCGTGGCCATCAGTCCTAGGGACATTATTCCCGAGTGCCTTGACGGTTGTAATGAAAGAGACAAATAAGTTGACACTAGGATCCCCACCACGAATCAAAAAGAAGGTATCCAGGCTCATTTGATTGTCAATGTAGACAGGAGGGCGTTTACTTTCTATCATCACTGACATCTTTCCCGGCATCCAGTAACTAATTATTGGATTGCATTCGGTGGACTTCAAACTGAAAACCTCGCATAATGTACGTACAAATTCCGTGTACGCCATGTTTTCCCTAACACGTACACAACGACCAAACCAGCCTTCTCATGGTTCAAATTTACATTCTTCTTCTTTGCATCTCCACTCGCCCACCATAGTAAATACGGGAATATCCATTACCCACCTGCACCATAAATTCAGCAGAACCCCATTAAATGCAAATGAAAGCATGATTATATCTACAAAAAACAAAAAGAATTCCCAACTACACACTTATATACATAAATCTATCCTCATTTAGCATTTTCAACTAAACAAATTGGAAATAAAAATATTCTGGGTTTTTATATAAAAATAATGTTGATTTCGAACATAATCAAGACCCTAGTGTGTTATAACAAAAAACTTCTTAACCAATTTGATTACTTACACGATCAATGTTTGTCTTGGCTCCAAACTTTGTAAATCAAGAAGATCAAAACTTCTCCAGCATCACATTCGGTCAGAATAATTTGTTTGTTTGATGGATCATGTTTGTCTCTTACAACTATTCACACATATAAACTAATATTAGAAAAAGTAATGATGACTTGCATTAATTGTGACATGAGTCATATCTAAACTTTTTGGGCATTAAATCCTGATGTCTCATTGTTTTTTAATCTTATTAATCCCCTTTTGTCACTGTACACCCACAGAAATCAATTAAAAACGAAATATATTGCTTAACCGGAACAGTGTACGTAACTGAACCGCATAACTGAACCGTACAGTGAACAGTACATCGTTACGTTGGTAGGGGTAAAATGGTCAGATTTTGGCTAAATTGTCAAAACTTGAAAACCAATTCTCACTTTGCCAAAACATGAAATTAAAACATGGTCTTATGCCCTGCCATGCAAATTGTCAAAACTTGAAAACCAATTCTCACTTTGCGAGTAAACACTCAAAAGAAAAAAAATTCCTCTGCAAGGCAAGCAAAGTTTTTTTTTCATCATTTCTGTTTCCAGTTTCTGCGTCATGCTGTTTGATTCTATCATCAATTCAACTTGTGTTTCTTCCTGATTCTCTAGGTTAAAAAGTGTTCGTTTACTAGCTGTGGAAACTAGTCAATCTTTTAGGGTAAAAGTTTAGTTTGAATCTAGGATTACATTGTAGAGAATCTTTTTTCATATTTTTGTTGCTTGATTTGCGTATGATTACGGATTTGTGTGTGTGAGAATCAATCTAAGGGGCTTTTTTTTTTTTTTTTTTCAGGTTTGTTTTTATTGGGAGGAATCTTTATTACATTTGATGGCTAAGCATGTTGGTAAGAAGTTTACTTGGGTGATAAAGAACTTCTCCTCTTTGCAATCTGAGAAACGTATTTATTCTGTTCCGGTCCTGATTGGTGATTGTGCGGAAGCTTCATCAGTAGAGGAAAATATGATTGTTAATGGGTTTCATGTTCTTCCTTCACAGGTATGTAATCAAGAATGGTGCAATCTTTTTTGTTACTTTTACAAGAGGCGGGATCATTATATTCTTCCGATATTAAATGAATGTCATTTTCACTTACAGGTAGACATCCAGACATTGCAGTCGGCTTCCGCGCAAAGAGCCAACATCTAAGGACAACATACATGAATTTCTTGCTTAGCTTATTCGAAACGCTGTGCAAGTCACTTCAGGAGCTTACCAATGAAGATCTTGTGGATGCAGACATTTCGTTGACATACTTGAAATATGTGAGCTTTAAGGTGGATTGGTTGGAGAAGAAGCTGGAACAAGTGAAAGAAAAGAAAGAGAAAGAGCAGTCTGCTTTGGCCAAACTTCAAGAGCTGGATGCTCAAGTGGAGGAGCAGAAGGCAGAGTTGTCGGTTACGAGAACTCCTCTGTCATTCGATGATATTGTTTGATGACTTGAATTCTAAGGCATTTGGTGTTCTGAAATTTAAGTTTCTTCTCTTTTTATTCTTTTTTTTTTTTCAAAATTAGAGGTTCTCTTGCTAAGACATTGAACTCATGTTTGAAGTTGTCACATTTTGTGGAAGAAGTATATTGCCACCATGATTTATCTAAGTTTCGGCTACCAAATTTCTTGCGTAACGAAGTTTCTTACGACAAGCTTAAAATTGTGTGTTCTTTAACCAGAGACCTTGGAGAGTTCTTAGGCACCTCGAGTTAATTGACTAGGTATTAGAGTGAGAATCACATGGTTGTATAAATGTAGAATGATTCCAACATTTTAGTGAAGTTAAGAATATGGAAAAAGGGGATTTTCATACCCGTACTATCTGCACAGTGGATTTTCATACCTGGACAATTTCGTAGGGTATTTTACAACCTAAACTTCAATAAAATTTGAATCTCATACCTATACTTGATATAACGTGCAAAAATTGGAGTCAATCTAACGGATGTTAGTCAACTCCGTTACGGTGCTGAGTCATCTTACACGTGTACGCTGACGTGTATCAAAATGACGTCGTTTTCATACCCGTACTGTCTGTGCCGTGGATTTTCATACCTGGACAATTTTGTAGGGTATTTTACAACCTAAACTTCAATAAAATTTGAATCTCATACCCTATACTTGATACAACGTGCAAAAATCGGAGTCAATCTAAGGGGTGTTAGTCAACTCCGTTACGGTGCGTATCAAAACGACGTCGTTTTGATATGTGTTCTCAAAGT